TCGCTTTTTCCAGAGAATCTAAGCTTTCCTCAAGCCCTTCTCTAAGCTCGCGCTGGCACAAATTTGGATTGTTCCGAAAGTTAGATATCAAAGAACAAAGCCCTATATTTGTGTCGTCACTATAGCGTTGTGGGATACAGTGCCGATGGAATGTGAGAGGTGGACTCTCTGTCGGTAGGTTAGTCGGATTGGACGATGATAGAATATCTAAAAAGCCAGGAGGTAGAAACGGACGGCCTAGGAAAAACGAATCTCGTGGCGGTGTGGACGGAGCTTCTAAGTCTGTTATAGGCCCTTTATCTTTGATAGTATTGAGCCTCTCTTGCACCGAGCGAAGAAAGGTTAAAAACTGGCGATTTTGGTACCATTAAGTGCACAGAGATAAACATGCTTGCGAGGCCCCTATTTTATTGACCCTTTCAATTTCCGGCAACTAAGGTATTTCGCAGGGCCATTGGCTTTTGACTGCCTCGGAGAAAGTCTTTATATCAGTCTCTTTCTGTAGATCATATTCCGCTTTTCGTTCTTTAGCCGCTCGCTTTTGTGCTTTGGAATTTGTACCCACAACGGGATGCAAGAAATTGCTGTAATTTCTTTCTATCGCTCCGTTGATCATTTCTTTATCGAAACACTCGCCCAGTTGCAAGTTAAGGACTTTTTGCTCACCGAGAGGAATAGGGAGGTCCTCGAATTAGCCAGAAAATGCGATAGCTAAAAGCGAATAAATATATGGTTCCTCTTTTCCGGAAAATGCAATTGTGCAAAAGAGAGACATAAGGCTATATAAGTCTCTTACCTAGTCGCTAGACCGGCAAAGCTTATACAGAGAACCCTATGCGTCTCTAAAGGACAATCGCAGAAGTTCTGTATAGTTGGCCTCCTTTAAAGAGGGTCCTAATAGCCAAACGTTTTTCCAACTTCCAACGCTTCCGAGAAGTTCAACGTAGTGCGATGGACACGGCCGCCAACTTCTCATAAGGGTTGTAATTTTGTAGACGCGCTGACTTCGCTCACTCTAGAACTCGCGATCTCGATAGCGATATAACGATGGCTGAGGCATTCGATGCACCGAGCCACCTCCAAGCTCAGAGTAGAAAAGCTACGAGTTTCGAGAACGGGCTCTTTCGAGAAGATAAAGATCCCCACGATTCTTGTAGCAGTTGGCTATCGTATCGCATTCAGTATCACTCCGCCTATGGAGTGCACTTAAGCTGCTAGCATGCTCCACAATTTCTTGTGTAAGTGCTCGAAAATCGTCGTGTTGGGCCAATTCTCTAAGCTCACTGTTCCACGAGACTGTCTGCATAGATTTTAAATGGTCAGGATAGTAGCGACGTCTAGGAGTAAGAGCTACAATGTGCTTCAAGAGCACAAGTGTTTCGGAGCTGAGTGGAAACGAAGTTCTTAGACATGCCTATCGCAGGATGCGAATGGCCTCTGCTATTCCTGATCGCTCCATTGCAGGATCAGGGAGGATATAGCTTGTGACTGTATGCATATATGCTAGATATAGTATCTCTAATATATTAAATAACCCCTGTAGCACCTTAAGATGACTATCAAACGAGTAGTAGAAACATCTTAGGCGAGGCTCTTTAGGTGGGTTAACAGTCACGACAGTTTGGCGTTTGACTTTAAATAGCTAGACACCACTATAAGGTATCAAGACGGAGCGGCAATTTCTCTTAGAGTCAAGAAGCACAAGCTTGTTCTTCAAACCATATAAACAACCTATGTCTTGGTTTTGATCGACTCTGGCATTGAGTTCCTAGGACTCTAGACCGCTATCCTAGTTTATGAAGAACTTCAGTCGAAGCCTGACTAAGTGAACCTCAATTTTTTTGTGTTTATCTTTTCGTGTTTGAATGATATAGATGTGATTAGGAGTATCTAATACTCCGAGAACACCTACCACCCGTTTAAATAGCTAGTTATTGATGTCAACTATTGTTTGGTGACCTAAGGTCATGGTCAATATTCTTCGTGATGTTAATCCAATCGAAAGACGCCAATTTATCGATTGCGGAACCTATGCGTGCTCTAATGAACGGAACTCGAGCGTCCCGCTCTCCAAATCAAGCCAATGCACATAGTTAGAGACTAAACTCTCCGAGAAGTCCCTAGCTAGCTTCTCGTGCGGAATGAGCTATAATATTTAATGCTCCGCTCGCGCTTTGATGATAAGTTCACTCTTATCCATCGAGAAATAGAGCTGCGAAATAAAAAGTAAGTTTCTTACTCGCACCCCGGAGGTACAATAAACTTACAGAGTATCCCTTATACTAGGCTATTGACATAAATGCTGACCCATCCAAATTTGATGGTAGTACCGTAAGGGTTCGCTATATTGATTAGCTCTTAATGCAAGGAATAAGAAGAGGCAAAGGCTTCTCACATTGCCAAATATGCGCTGAAATAATGGCAAGCTAGTGTACTCCCGAGGAAGGCGACCAGGAGGATAATTTGCCAAGAGAAGCTCCCCACTAAGCAGGTTATAGTGAATGGCTTGCGGGCTGCCATGGGGCCCTGCACTCGTTTCATTGGTAACCCATCGTGAAGCATTCCCTAGACATAACTTCTAGGCAGACGCAATCTATAGATTATGCACACTCCTGTTAATTGCTTCGTTGAAGCCTGATGCATCAGCCTTAATTAAATGACGGGTATGCTCTTCGATATTATGCAGAGTTTTGGTTGTCCAGATGAGACTGCTTGCAATTCTAGATGGAATTTTCACATACGATCGAGGCGAGTTTTCGAAAACCAGGATTGAAGACCGCGTTAGATGAAAGAGGTCTGCACGGTTGTGGAGGAGACGTGGAAGGTGCTGCGGCTCTACCGCGTATGTAAGTTAACATAGACCCCCTATCTTGACAATAAGCAACTGCTATACTTCACTTTGTGCGTCTGTCTAAGTGGACAGGTTAGCGGCGAGGTCCTCGCACCACGTTAAAGCGGTGTTTCGGCATCGACGCAAAAATTTCCCCGCTCGTTTAATAGTTAAAAACCCATCCTCCGACAAACTAAGTGCACGGAGGCCCAGAACGACCAGGATGTGCAGAGTATGATGCTTATTCCAGTTAGCTTCAATAAAGCCGAGCTTCTGGTTTAAGCACCCCAACAGCCGGCTACCTAAGCCACCCTGCGAAAATGCTACGTGAGCCTCTCTTAGCTCTGAGCCAGGGCTTGGACCGCTGAGCTCCCAGGCTGCTTGACGGAACAACATGCAAGTTGCTTCCTCATTCATTGCGAGAGAAGATGACGCTAGTTCACGAACCATATTATACCACTGCACTCTAGAACCCGCTCGGAGACAACCAAAAGCAACGAATTCATGCAAACCCAGCTCAGAAGGACAGTTTTGCTGATCCGTAATGACCCGATTCTCCGAATGCAGACACGAATCCACCGTGTATTGCAGGCAAGTGTACGGCCCCGGAGGGACATTAAAGGTACACCAACGTTTTAACGAAGGGTAATCTTGTTGGTCTCCTCCCCAGCTGTTATCTTTGCTGTCGAGAAGCCGGAACCGTAATGCATTTGGGGGTGTTATGTCTCCAAAAGCCACAGGAAATTGACGAGTACTGTAGTGAGTCCTCTTCCATGACTTTGCTGTTGATCCTAAGGTAAGACGTTGGCCCCAGCTCACGCAAAACTGTTGGGTTTCCTTGTAAGAGAGCAGATTTTGCTGCATGTTGGGTCCTTGTTCAATTTGCATCCGACCAAAGTCATGGATCAATCTCCAAGTGACATCGCGCCACCTCAGAAACCATTGTGGGCAGTCCAACTCGAAGATAACTGTTTTGAGAATCTCCTCACTCTTCGGAAGTGGCCATTCGTAAACATCAATGCTGAGGTTCTTAGCATGATGACTTTAGAAGTGGAACAAAGTCCCATTGCAAAGCCAGTCTCATCAAAATTCCAAATATCATCCTCAGATATACCGTGTTCCTGAATAGCTTCTCTTACGGTCACAAACCACCGTTTTATAACCTCTGGGTCTTCTTGCTTTGCGCGCTGGTATGTAATCCGTCGATTGTATCGTGTACGTAGAGCCGGATGACGTTTAACAAACTTATATGCCCAGTTAACACCAACGGTTGCCTCGGGATCTTGTGTACGCTCGCGAAACAGAATTTGGGCCATTCCTCGCAGAAACTCCGGTCGAATCGAAAAACCCCCGTTTGTCTGCATCCAGCAACCTTATGACAAGAACCTCTTCTTCCACTGAATTTAGTTTATGGCCATTTGCGCGTGTTTCTGCGCGTGATTTCCGTCCCTGTAGTCGACGACGTAGGGTGGCCTCAGGCACGGAAAAGGTCTCAGCAGCCTTTGTTTTTGATTTTATTTTTGATTTTTTGAATGCAGTAATGGCCATCTGGATGCGACTTTCTTGAGACAGAGGCATTTTTAATCCTGGTGGTGAGAAACGACGCGTCAAAATAAATTACAAGTGAAGACGGCAAAATCCGTCACTCGGTGGTATCCGTCACTCGGGGGTGGATTACGTTAACTACAGTGGCACCGCAAAAGTCTCCGACCCCCTACAGATCGCCTTTCATTTTGCCGCATTTTATGCCGGTCCAAACTTGGCTACCACCGACTAATACTTGTTAAACCAACCATTTGGCTCCGAAATAAGGCCAAGAAAAGTTTCAAAAAGAGGATGTGGTCGTAAAAATCTAAAAATCTTATGCAACATGTCGAGCGTGGCTCTTTGTAGAATTCCTAGCTAGATCGGAAAAGCGGTGTGTAGGGGGGTGGAGACTTTTGCGGTACCACTGTACTATTTGCTTATATAAGCTTCCAACCGTGAACGGAGTATAGTATATCCGTCCTCCGCCTGGCCCTGGGGACCACATACCAAGATAAGATGAAGAGAACACCGTGTGCCAGCGAGAGCTTGCGCCCGGGAATATTTGTTTCCCAAGCATTCTGTTTTTAACTTCTACTCTTTTTACACGCATCGAGGCCCGTTCATTCTTTGGAAATAATCACCAATGTCCTCCGCACCATCCCGAGCCATGGAGGCTGATCCTGAATCTCAGGATCGCGAAGCGACAGTCGAAACTCCCTTGTTACCACGAACATCACGATTCGAAGACGAAGAGTCAACAACGCTACATCCTCAACGGCACTTGACCCGCGTGGTAGCGATTATACTAGTCTCCATTTTCCTGCTCGAACTGGGTGACTTCATGATGCGGGCACCATCTATGCGGGTTCTGGAAGACGTCATCTGTCGGAAGTTTTACAAATCCACCACTCCATTCGACTCCCACATCATCCGGTCTATCCCCGAACACGAGTGCAAGATCCCTTCTGTACAGGGGAAGGTCGCAATGATGAAGGGTTGGAATGAAGCTTTCTCTTGTATGCCTGCCATCTTTCTAGCTATACCGTATGGGTATGTGGGTGATAGATTTGGGAGAAAAATACCGCTTTTTCTAGCCGTACTCGGCATATTACTGTCGCAGCTTTGGGTGCAATTTGTTCGTAAGTTCTTTTCAACCCCCTAAGAAAGACTGGTGTTTGATACTAACTCGTATAATCACAGTTTATTTTAACGATATCTTCGACGTTCAGTGGATATGGGCTGGGAATTTATTTCTTTTAATCGGAGGTGGGAGTGCCGTTTCCCAAAACTTTATCTATGCCATCGTCGCAGATGTCGCACCGGAATCTAAAAGGTGCGAACCTCCATATAATTACCTGATACCATATTAAACGCTCGGGAACGGACACTTACATTTGAACAGAGGCCCTATTTTCTTCCAGGTCTCTGCTGCCGCACTCATATCCACAGTGATTGGCATTCCATTGTCCTGGTTGCTGATGAAAGCCGACTCATTTGATGCATTATTAGCCGCTTCTGGCTTCATAGCTCTTGGAACTATTCTGATTCTATTACTACCTGAAACTCTTCAAGATGCAAAGGAGAGCGATGCTGCCTTACATGACCCTGTTCAAAATTTGCATACAGAGGAAGACATCTCACCCGTACGAGCCAAATCGTCAATAATCGATATGAAGACCTTGATTGTTAAATTTGTCGACGATTCTCGCTTCATATTGGCAAACCCTAGTCTCTGTGCTCTTATATTCACATTTATTTTGTCCAGTCTGTCTTCAAACAGCGTCTCGATTCTTTTTCAACTTGCATCCGAGAGGTTTCAATGGTCGCTAGCGGATGTACGTTTCCAAAGACACTACTCTTTCTTCCGCAGGAACTAACATTTTGATTTTTTATTTAGGCCAGTTTCCTTCTTCCTTTCGGCTCACTCACCAACTTCGTAATCCTGGTCGGCATCCTGCCATTTATCTACTCCGTACTGGGTTCGCGTTTCCATTTCCGCTCCTCGACTAAAGATCTCCTCGTCGCGCGTGGATCCCTCGTGTTCCATATCCTCGGTGCTATCGTAATTGCATTTTCTACTGGTCCCCTATTCCTTATCTTCGGTACTTTTATATTTGCATGCGGCGATGGCCATGTTTCCGCCGCACGCTCTCTCCTCACATCATTCGTTCATCCATATCAAGTTTCCCGTCTCTATTCTGCGTTGGCTATCATGATGACCATTGGAAAAATTATTATGGCACCCTTACTGTCAAAGGCCTTTGTATGGGGATTGGATCTTGGAGGGATTTGGAGCGGAGCGGTATTTTTGGCTGTTGCTGCTTTGTACCTAGTGCTTGGATTGCCGTTGTGGATTATTGCACCGCCGAGTTAAGAGGAGAGTATTCATGGCTGATTGAAAATATCGAGATGAAACGTTCAGAAATTCTTGTCTTTCATAAGTATTAAATGCTAAGGCGCTAGAAAACTAATAACTATGCTAAGGAAATATTCAGGGTATCTATCCGAGACAGTACCGCAGCCATGAGTGCAGAACAGAACGTCATATCGGCTTCGTCAAGAAAGAGAGGGTCATAGAAGTAACATAATACAACATGATGGAGGAGCCCTTTCTTAGATATCTAAATGAGGCCGGACTTCTATAGCGAAGAAGGTCGTCACTATAAATCATATATCATATGCACAGATAACGACGTGGAAATTGGGGTCATCTAGACGGTGTCCAGTGATATAACCATATCTTATCTTCCGCGTCCCAAGAACTTTGGCTATCCATCGTTGGCTCCTGTAATCCCACGTTCATATCTTGTAGCTTATATCCCTATATTTCATAATTCAGCGCAGGAAGAATTGCAGGCGTTTCGCCGTCTTCCTCCAATCGGCGTCCGTTGGGGAATGATTGACCTATAATTGAGACACATTAGCGCGCTCTACAATGTGACCTGATGTTCATACCGTAGAGTGGGTGATTTAGCTGTCCCGGCTCAGAGATATCAACAGTGTGCCTATCAGCCCAAGCTTCAAATTTATCCCAATTGACACATTCACTATATGAGTGGAAATTTGTCTTCGGAAGTCGACTCTCCTTATTCCAGTTATATGTAACAATGGCGGTGTTTGCGCGGCACATGATACTTTGCCGTATTATATCAACACAGTGATCTAGATATTGTTTAGCATACATTAAAGAAGGTGGGTTTAAGGGACGAAAACATACTGATGTGATGTGGAAGGCGGATTATATCCTCATCAGATAAGTTTTCTCTATACTTAGCTTGGTTGACGGCCCAGCGAATCCATTTCTGAGAAGGGAATTTAGTCTATAACAAACATATACCCCAAGAAATAATAGCACTCACCACGCAGTGGAGCTCGTGATAGACCCCAAGCATACCAAGGTAACCACCGCTTCCGAGAGGAACGGACGTCTGATTGATGGCGTGCAAGTCTTTTTCACCTAGCCTGATGTGATTCCCTAGTCGAGTTGTCAGTGTTGAAACATACAGTTCCAGGTATTGGAGCATATTTACTTGATGTGAGATCCGACCATGCCTCATCAGCCTCATCATCGGCGTATCACCTCTTCCACGGAGATAGTCTAGAGGTATTTTTGAAAAAGAAGTGCTTATGCGTAGCAGTAAATGTTGACGCTCCTCAAATAAGGGCCTCCAGTATACTCCGCCGAGATTTATTTAACATCTCTTCCTTCTATCTTCATTCATTTCAGGCCACTATTGGTGGAATAGTTGGCAGTCATGGAATACAGGAAAATTTCCAAGTCGGATCCTTACTCTGCCTACACCGATAAGTCATCATCGGAAGATCTCTCTCATCCCTCTCAGCGACTTCTCGATAATGAAGAAGATGCAAACCTGAACCTTGAATGTCGGGTCCCCTTCTACAGACGGCGAAGCTTCATTCGTGCGACTATTGCTCACTCTCTGATATTTCTAACTTACACTATTGGATTTATCGGTCTAATTACTTGGTTTGGACAACAACCGTGTCCACCGACACTTACATATAGTAAGAATCTACATATGAAATTAACTCATTCCGTTGGCCGAGCGCTAATTACGATGATTTAGCACCCATTCAAGGCTCTGTGAAATGGGCAAAGACTTGGTATGACGGCAGTCTGGGTAAACAAGACAAATACATAGGAGATCCTCGTCCTGTAAGCATTTCGGCGAATTCGGACAAATCTACCTATTATGTCTTAAGTTAAGTAAAGCCTAATGGTCTTGTTAGGAACTTGAGGTGGCATGGCATGAGTTGGTATCGAATAACAACCTCAGATTCACCAAATCTGAAATCGAAAAGTTAGGAAAGGATGCTATTGAGCTTGCGGATGGCTCTGGCTATTTTGGACAGGTGATGGTCTATCACCATCTCCATTGCTTAGTGAGTTTCCGAATACTGCGCTTTAAAGCACACTACTCAAATATATGGACCTCCTTAGCTAACAATTCTTAGAAATCTGTACGGCAGGCTTTGTACCCCAATGCCTATGAAAAAACATCGAAGGAGCATCTTGGTGAGAAGATTAATTAGATTACTTTGACAATCGGGCTGCTACTTACTTCTGCAAATAGATCACTGTATCGATGATATTCGCCAAGCATTGATGTGCAACCCCGATATCTCAGCCAGCACCTTCTTTTGGGAGGATGGTCTTCGGCGCCCTCAGCCAGATTTCACATTGTATATTCTTCACTTTCCCTTCTTACCTTCAACTCAAAATTGATCTAACAAACAACAGGTATAAAACCTGCGTCGACTGGGACCACTTTAATAAATGGGCAACTAAACGAATGTTTTCAATGTACGACCAGAAATCATTAATCAACTCTAAGTTCGGTGAGTATTCAAGCACATCTTAGAGTGGACCGCATTATGCACAGTCACTGACGAACGCCAACTACTAGGAATTGCGTTTCCCTTGGTTAACGGGTCAATTGAATTCGACCCACCTGGGCCTAATATGCACATTGTCTGGCCTGAAGAGGGTAAATTTCATGAGAACCACCATTCAGGAGATAAATCAAAAGGAGGGTTCAAGTAAAATTGAACGGAATTTTCAAGAGGGCATCTCGATGGCCTGCCTGACTTTTGGTAACTCTACTGGAAGCCATGCCGTCACTATATACTTTAATCCGGAAGCCTAGGTAATTGATTCAGTTTTGGCATCTTATTTAAATCTCCGAATGAATGAATTATACAATCATTAGAAAAGCTATAACATGGTACAATTGAAAGTCTAACAATGGACGCTTGCCGTTACAATTCCATGGGTAACGGGGAATAGATCACCCGAATTACTACAGTAGGTGTTTTCAAAGACCAATTACAATGGTGAAAGAAACCTTTTATAACACACATAATCATCTCATAACAAATGAGAGGGACTTATGCTGACTTTCCTATTTTAGCGCTTCAGTCACCCCGCAGCACAATCAAGCCAAACGACAGTGGTAACTCGTTACCGAGGTTTGCGTTGAGAACCTCATCTTCCTTCGAGCACATCTCATTTCCCCATCATACCTGGTTGTTTCATGTCTATTTACTTCACTTAGTCTGTCTCGCTCAAAATCTCAGCCTAAACCGCGCATCGGCCCCATGGCTTCATCTAGCCCCGCGCGGTCAACATTCGGTGATGAGAGCCAGGAAGACTCTTTACCTTTAATCCACATATATGAGACACAAGAAGAGCTGTCAGATACCTATCCACCGGCAAGTATCTTTCGAGTACTTGTTTTGGCTAGTGGATTTGGGACGTGAGTTTTCCACTAGGTAGACAGTTGCGCTTCGAGGCTAACAAATTATTAGACTTCAGCTGGTATTTGCTCTCTTGACGTCATATGGATCTGTAATATATCATTTTACTCCCCAGGTTCCTCATATCAGCTAACGCAAATTCTCAGGCACAGCTGCTGTTCGTTGGAGTCAGCCAAGCTGCAACAGGATTGATCTGGCTAGCCGGACCACTAGCAGGAACCCTTGTCCAGCCCATTATTGGGATAATAAGTGACAAATTTGGTCACCAGAAAACAATTGTCGCTACCGGCATTGCGGGTCTCGTCGTATCGCTTCTAGGGCTTGGCTGGGCGCCAGACCTGAAAGAGGAAAAGAATCAATTGAGCAAGGCTTTGGTGGTCTTATTTATATGCACTCTAAACATTGCCATACAGCCAGTTCAGCTCGGCCTACGGATTCTAACAATCGAAAGTTGCCGTCTAGAGGAGCAGAATATGGCGTCTGCTTGGGTTATACGCATGATCGGAATAGGGAACATTCTTGCGCAGTTTGCTGGTTCGGTTGATACGACTAAATTACAACCATTCACGACGGGGAACCATTTTAAAGATTTATGTATGCTGATATCGATCGGGCTTATTATTAGCGCAGTTGCGCTGGGGCTGTTCGTCAGAACAAGGGAAACTACACGGTCTACATCCGAAAGACTCGATAATCGGCAAAGCAGACCCGTAGGTTTGTGGAAAGCCATACGGGCGGTTTCTCCAGGTGTTGTTAGCCTTTGGAAAGTTCAAGTATTTTCTTGGATGGGTTGGTTCCAATTTCTCTATTATGTCACAACGTGAGTGATCCTTGTTGCCCTCCTGTGATGTGAAATGGTCGTTCTGAGTAACTGGTTCAGGTACATTGATTATCTTTGTAAGATGCGAAAAACACATCTTTAAGCAAATGATGCCTTTGCTGACCCTAATATAACAGCTTTAAATGATCTGTCACAGGATCCAATAATGATAGACGAGGAAGAGCAGCAACTCAGCAAAGTTGAGTCTTTGAAATTCGGATCCCGAGCAATGCTTCTGAACGCCTGTGTATCGTTCGTTTCAAGCATACTACTCCCCTGGCTATTTAAACACAATGAGCGATCAAATTCCAGATCCAACAATCGTGTAACTCTATCAAGTATCTGGGTGATATCTCAGGTGCTGTTCGGATTGGGGATGATATGCACTTTGTGGGTATCTTCAGCTACGGGCGCAACATTAATCATCAGCATTCTTGGTCTCAGCTGGTGCTGCACTGGCTGGATTCCCTTTACTTTAATGAGTATCAAAGTCTCGCAGGAATCGAGGAACCACTTACGTCCTCCCAGTCCTGGTCTTATAATGAGTTTGTATAATGTTTCTATTGCGGCACCGCAGATTTTGTCCGCCTTGATTGCTGGGTTGGTGTTTTGGGTTTCTCAGGATGGAGAAAACCAAGCTAGATATGTACTTGCTGTTGGAGGCGTGTTTGGACTGATTGCTGCGTGGATGGCAGGGAATTTGACTATTGAGAACGAGCTACATTAGTTGTTCCCAGCTTTCACTTTTAAAACATTGGCCTAAATCCCATTTTATAAGTAGGAGAGAGTATTAGGATTTTGAATTTTAATTTTTGAATGTCCTTATGCGCAGCTATGACGTTGCTTCCTATATTCATTGTCCTACTTGTTATTCTAGAATCACTTAGAAAAAATATGCAGTCGACTCTCATGACGGAAACCCCCGCCATCCATCCAAATGATGTTGCACACCCCCAGTATGTGCAGCATCTCATGTGTGGGGCATTGATTATATTATATTCACACTTTTAGCGTAGCCCTGATTTCCTATTTTGATTTGAATCCCATCTCCTCTAGTGTCTTCTGTTTCCTCCCATTTGTGTGTAGCATTGTGTGTACCTTCACCAAAGCCTCAATTCAGAATCATCCGTATATACCGTCGCTGGCGTAGCCGGGGGGTTTCATCGTAACGGGTTTGTCCATCATGGAGGCACCGTACTCTTGCGGAAGAGGTTCCGAATTAGGGGTCGGCACGAATACATTCTCGTAACATTTTGAAATATTCGCAGTTCACAAACATCTACGAATATTCGTATTCGCACTGTTGAGATGTGTGATTGTCTGATTGAATCTTGTTAATTGACATAAGGAACTATCTATTATAGGGCCGGATGCCGCATATACATCTGTTTCCAATCCCTGCCATAAGATTCAGCCACCGTGATACTCAACAATTTTTACCACCAAGGAAAGGCTGATTCAGCGATCACTCACCCTTCCATATGCTTTTGTATGATAAATCGGGTCAATTCGGAATACCCGTGTCGTAACACGCCAATACTAGCCCCTGAGGCTATTAGACGCTCTCAAGAGCAATCTCCTAGATACTTCTTCAATCAATCAATCATGTCAATTGGTTCCCTCAGTACTAGCGTGTACGGATATCCTACGATCCGACACATACAGCCACCACGGTAATACGTGTTTTATCCATCTTCTGACCAGCATAGCCTTTAGATGCAAGGCCACCATTCGGCATAAGGCGCCAGAAAAGTCCTGTTTTATCCATATTATAGAAAATATCAGGCTCATACCGGTCGCATGTAGCCTGGATAGCTTTCATCTGTGTACGAATTCATTCAGGAACAGAAGCCGGTTCGCCATGGAAGGTATGCCATGATATTGATACCGCTTTTTAAAGCCAGTAAGCCAACCATCAGAAAACATAAGCTGTGAAAAGCGCTTGTACGCATCGACTTGCTTCCAAAGCTGTATAGCCTTTATCCGAATAAGTGGCCCGGTGATTGATTGGTCTTGTTCTACAAGGCAGTTTTGCCATTCGAATAAGGCTTCATCTAATATTTGCCAATGGGCAGAAGATTTCCGAGTCACATTGCTTGCGGTGTCATAGTCTAAATAGTCATATCGAGATGAAAGGACTTGCGAAAAAGTAGTCCGATCAATGATACGGCCAAATGTATCACGAAACCATTCTAATGTAGTTCAAAGGGAGATCAATTGTTCTGTATTCAGAGGAAATACATAGGACTATATATACAATGAGAACGATAAAGTGCAGCTTCCCAGAGTGTTGCTTACTAGAGTCGATTGTAAATATCCTTATATAGAGTACATGAAACAATACGACAATGCTATAACTTCGGCTCCCTATAGCTTGACTCAAAATAATAATGCAGCGCCAAGAACCAGCGCGGGCAACTTTATCTGTGAAAATATTAATTGCCGGATTGCAAATCTCAGACTAGGCTGTTCTCTTCTTAACGCTCTTCCATCCCAGTCCCCAACTAAATATAAAGGCTGTCGTCGCAGTGCCAGAAATCATGTAAAAGACATACTGAACGGCATTATTATAAGCCATAACCACACCATCTACACTAGAATGCGGGGTCACGGATCGTATCCCAGATACACCAGCCGACATGACTTTCGAAACAGAAACATCTGGTGCGTAGGTGGGTAGAAGGTTTGTAAGACCAGTATTGAAAAGCGTGCTGGCGAACGAAAGCCATAGTGCTCCACCGAACGTCTGGCAGAAATAAAGAAACGCCATACTGACGGCAATCTTGGACGGAGGAAGATTGTTTTGGACTGCTATGAGGGGCTAATTGGTTCAGAAGCGTTAGTTTATCGGTTAAAAAATAAGTCTTAGTGTAGATAAACTATACTTTTTGAAGCGCACAACCGCGTCCCAGACCCGCGAGTATTTGAAACCCGACCCATGCACCAAAGCTTGTATGCGGGTTGAACATACTCATTAATCCAGATCCGATTGCGCATAAGATTGTTCCTATAACTGTAGGGGGCAGGTAATAACCAATTCGGGTTACTTTGAACACATTAATTACCGAGTCATTAGGCAGAATAGAGAGTTGGTACATACCCGCCAAACCAGATAGGAAGCCAGAGGTCATTTGAGCGATGACACCCGGTAGCATATACACACCGCTAAACATCGGTGATTTGCCTCGCACTCCTTGGAAGTAGATAGCCAGGTAGTAAGAAGTGACCAAGCTGTTCGCATAAAGGAAGAAACTAGTCAATGAAGAACAATAGACCACCCTTTGTTTAATCATTTTTAAGGGAATCATCGCTGCGTCTCCCTTTTTATATTCCCAAATCAGAAATAATGCTAGAGTCCCGGCCGATCCACAGAAGAGGCCGATAACCATCGCACTATTCCAAAGATATGCAGATCCGCCCTATTCGAGCGCGAGAAGAAACATAATGAGGGTCGGGGAGAGGAGGAGAAAGCCTATAATGTCGAGCTCAGAAAATAAAGATGTGGCTTTTATTCCCGATTGCGGCCCAGGTCCTCTTAGACTGTGTTCGGGAAATGACACGAAAAGAAGTGCAACCACTGCTAGTCCGCCGACGGGGAGATTGATGTAGAAGCCTAGCTTAATTCTTAGTAATTGGGTGCACTGGTGCTGGAGAGCCGGGGATCATGTACACCATCTCCAAGTCGCATACTCCGTCAATATACCACCAATCAATGGCGAGACCACAACGCCTATCTGACTACCTGCGCAGATTAGACTGGAGCGAACTAAAAACTGAAGGGAAACGTACATGATCCCACAATGCTAAAGTAAACTACGTTTTAGGACCGTTAGTAAGACTCAAAAATGTTTCGGGACTAGACCAGAAGCCAAAAACAATAACGTACGAGCTCTCTTTACAAGAGGTACCGAGGCGCACAAAATTGTTAGTGCACCATTTGCCACACCAGCACTCCCCATTCCAGCGATTGCCCTCCCTACTATAAACATATTGGAAGAGGTTGCAACGCCGCATATTAAAGATCCAAGCTCGAAGAGGGCGATGAAGGTCATGTATGTATACTATGATATCATTAATTCATGATTGCAGTGGCAGGCTTGTAGCAACGAACCTTGATATTAAATCGCGTATATAACTTGCCTGACATAGGCTGGAGAGAACAGCTTGAAGATAGTGAATAATTCTCCACGCTTAGTGAAGGTGACAAAAGGTTGATTTACTTACCTTGTCAATAAATACGCACTTCCGTACCAACCAACACCCGTAGTAGTGTGAAAGTCGCTCGTCATTTTGGGGATTGCCTTTTTATTTAAAAAAAAAATAGATAAGTGAGTCCGCATTATTCAAGTGACCAAATCGGAGTAGTCTGCGCACCGTAGCAACTATAGACATATCAAGCATGACAAGCAAAGCAATCACCGTAACCGCAATGATAACTAGCGTCAATTTGACCCCGGTGAGATATTGGACTTCACCTTCATCATCATTGCCCACGGAACGGTTAACCTGACTGCTACTGTCGCTAGACTTTGGGCTTTCTCCGTCCCCAGAGACACTTGTCTCTGGCTTCAGAGCGGAGCCAGAATTTATTCCGCCGGGTTGTTTCTCCATGTGCACCGTTTCGGATTATTTGATTGCAATAGTGAAAGAAAAAGAGTTGATGCCGGGCTATCGTGGGTTGAGTTATGTTTTGTATTTCTCTGGAGGCCAGGATGAAAAAATTTCGGCAACATATAACGCGCGTTCAGTATGGCTGTAGCCTGGGGGTAGATACGTCCACAAGTGGTCATAGGACGGAACTGAATGAAATTTGGTTACATGGATGTCAAAGCGTTACCTGGAATAGGACTAGTACTCCGAGATAGGATTTAACTCCGGCCCCCATCCCGAGCGAGCCGCCGCCATGGGGTTGTACGATGCAACCCGTATCTACTGCGAACGTAGCGATCATCAAAAACGTTCGAACCTTTCTGGGCCGTTTTTTTGCGCGAGCTGTGCCCACCCGCTCGCACTATGCTTTTCTAGGCCTTAATGGGTTGCAACGCCAGGTATAGTTGGGTTAATCTGCGGTTAGTCTACGCGGATGTTTCCGTTAGTTGTCCCAAATCTCCCACAGCTCCCAGATTTCTCTTGAGATTGAAACTCATACCCAGGTTACGTTGGACTCTCGCTTCAGGAGTGTTAGGCCCCACACCGTAAAAGACTTACTAGATGGCGAATCACAAGAACTCTACCTCACCATGCGGGGCATGTTACATTGCATCAATGATCCATGTATCGGATTTTTGGGGCTTAGATAGGTCTGGTAGAGATACAGGATTGGCAAAGTTCTACAGATATTGTGGAGTCTCAAACACTACGTCCTTGCCCTGCTCAGTTTATTTTTATTCTTCGACAATAAATCCGCCTATCCCATGGGGGTAAGTGGGATGTAGTTCATCCCAGTAGGCTAGGGTTTCGTTAACTATGGGAGCCCATTTGTATATACCAGTAGAAATGCCCATCCAGATACCAGTAGGGCTTTTTTGATCGGATCCCTATATCTCTATACCCTAGTATGTATGTATGTATGTATGTATGACTTCATTTACCCTGACGGTCCATGTTAGGGCTAGAGTTGGACCAGGTAAGGGACCAGATAGAACTGCAAGTATACGGATAGGAACTTCAACCCTGCGATTGTGACTGAACTAATCCTTAAGGAAGAGAGTTCATTAATTACAAGAGAGTGCCTTTTATTCCTTTGTGCGATCACGTGGCGTTGGCTTTCATGCAGGTTCTCGGGAAACTTCCTCAGAGAGTTCCAGTATACCCGATTCAGCATCCGAGTAGCTTCATGTTGTTCTGGGGCCGTAACAGTCCAGTTTACACCGAGACTCTCTTGGTTGCATTGCGAAGACATTAGCGCAGATCGTTAACGAGAGAATGGAACGGAAGAATTGATCGTCCTTCCCGGAGAGGGCAGGATTCTAGCTAAATACTAACGTATTTCCCGGTTGACCTGCGCACCCGGTTGTCCTGCGCACACCGCCCGAAACGCGTCGCATTTCCACACCTACTTTCTTTAACCACCTACTATGCCACCGAAACGCTCTCAAAACGCTCCAAAATCACTAGAACGCGAGGGTAAACCCTTCTAGCTATCTAGGGCTATAAAAATGGCCAATTTCCCTCTCTTCGCGCAGCGGCTCTTAAATATGGTGTGCCTGAAACTACAGCACGTACGCGTATGAATGGAACACCCTTTCGCGCTGATAAACGCCATCCACGACATCTATTGACCCAAACCGAGGAAGATTCGCTTACACAATGGATACTCTCTATGGAAGCACGTGGAGCAGCGCCTAGGCCAGCTACTATAGGAGAAATGGCCAATATTCTCCTCGCAGCGCGTGGCTCTACACTATCACCTACAGTCGGCAAAAATTGGCCATCAACCTTTATTAACCGCCGGCCAGAGCTTGGTACGCGATTCTCGAGACGATATGACTATCAACGCGCCCTAAACGAAGATCCAAAGGCCTTACGCGCGTGGTTTACGACTGTACACAGCGTTATCGAAGAGAACGGTATCCAACTAGAGGATATCTATAACTTTGATGAGATAGGCTTCGCGATGGGCCTAATCGCTACAGCTAGGGTCGTTACCCGCTCTGAATACTACGGTCGGCGAGCTATTATACAAGCTGGAAATCGTGAATGGGTTATTACAATTGAATCAATCAACGCTATTGGTAGGGCGTTACCGCCCTGTGTGATATTCAAAGGCAAAACCCATATTGGAGGATGGTTTAATGGCCTACCGCGTGATTGGCGTATTGAGGTCTCGCCGAATGGCTGGACTACTAATGAGATTGGCCTACGCTGGCTAGAACAACACTTTATTTCTGCGACCGCTGAGCGTACGCGTGGAAAATATCGATTGTTGATTCTTGATGGCCATGGTAGCCATCTTACAGCGCAATTTGATCGAATCTGCACTGAAAACGTAATTATTCCGCTTTATATGCCAGCGCATTCATTACATCTCCTACAACCTCTTGATGTAGGCTGCTTTGCTGTATTGAAAGGCGCCTATAGCCGCCTTATGGAGAATCAAGTGCGTCTTGGCTATAATCATATCGATAAGCTCGATTTTTTAATGGCCTACCCTAAAGCGCGTACGGATACATTTAGGCCAGAAACTATTCAAAATAGCTTCGCAGCAGCTGGTTTAGTGCCATTCGACCCAGAACGAGTGCTTTCAAAGCTTAATATCCAGCTTCGGACGCCTACACCCCCTAATAGCCGACTAAGCAGCAGATCTACTGTACTAGTCTCTTCAGAAGTGTCACCCAGTTCACACTTTTTGTCCGTGCACCCCATAGTAAAGACTTCGGTGGGCTGCAGCGACCTGTCCCGCCATTACAGCCCATATCTACTCCGTCGTGCTTCCCGCTAAATGGACTCTCGCTAACTCTCGTAGATTTTCATCATCATTAATTGAGCCTGCCTCCGGTATCCCTGGAAATTGGAAGAGAATATCCCCAGCTCTACCTGTAATTCTTCGGATATACATACTATTAGCACTGGCGCCAGTCCACAGTTATCTATGTTATTACGATGAGAAGTATCAGAAAAAGCAATATATCTTCCCTCATTTGGCACACGCGACGCGACGCGTTACTAACAACTACATACAAGGTAGTGCGAGAACTCCTTCTCTCCCCCCTGATTATTTGTTTTCATTTTCGCTCCATTAATATCCGTGTTTATTTTTGTTGTAGTTCAGAAGAATGTATTGTGTTATACAATTCTAGCGGGAAAGATGAGGCTATATATACAACTCTGAGCCAAGTTGATTTCCAATCAACTTGGTTGTCTGTATAGACATCTCGGACCTAATTCCGATGGTGCGGCTAGCTTCCTGATCTGCACCAGCCTCATATCACAACAGAATTGCTTACTCGTCTAGAGCATTTATGACCTGGCCAGATCTTAATAGGCAGCCTGACGCGAGCAGTGGGTTCTGTAAAATGGCCTTTATCGATTCGCATCTAGTCTTTGAAAATCTAACTTCTTTTTCTGAGGTGTTTTTCCTAAGTTTGGATTCTCATCTTAGTCCACATAGGGGCGAATGTATGTTAAATAACTTGGATTGGCGGATAACGCCTTAGTCATTGGAATCACGTGGCGTCGCGTTTTCACTGTCGCGTCCCGGCCCCCTTTCTCTCGCTTTATCGTTCAAAACCCTCCTAAGTCAATATGATGGCAAAAAGAGGATTGCGCTATGTTAGATCAAAAAAGATCGAGGTTGATCATCGAAAACCCTATCGGCAATGGCCTAAACGGCTTTCGCACTACGTTCACCTCGACCTATAAAGGCGCGGACTTGCACTTAGTAGAGGAGGCCATCGATTAGCTCAAGCGGGAGGGTAAGGCAGAAAAACCTATCGTAACCCTTTCTTTTCGCTGACTTAAGTATAGATGTGTAAGACCTGGCTTTCAGCCTTCTAATATCCCTTTAGGTCCTTCCCGCCGCTCGTCTTCTGCCGTCTAATTTAGGAGGAATCGTTCGAGGTGACCTACATCGACTTATATCCGTCGTTGCGTTAAATAATTTCGATCTCGAACGAATCAAACCGCTGCTTAAAATATCTCTTCTAGATGTAGTAATAGATGAGTAGATATGGAATCTTGTGGACGTTGCCGTAGAGGAAACTACGCCGCCCCCTCGACCGATTGCCTCCTCCCTCCAACAAACTCTATGGCTTTATAAGACGAGTAGCTTCGCGAACTCCTCGGAATACCGCCAAGATGTCGATAGGGTCCTTAAGTCCGAGCTTGGGTAACTATACGTTAGGCTCTTGCATTTTCGATCAATATTTTTTGGCGCTATTAGTGGTCTTCAAATAGGATCCGAAGCTATATTTCAAAGATGTAAAGAGGGCAGCGATCCGCTTTTTGTTAATAGGTGGAAAGGATGGCCAAACGACGCAAACCAGGAAAAGGTTTTGAATTGGTTTGTAGATCTAAGCGAGAAACTAGCAATAATCTTGGCAGACTACAACCCTATAATAGCACACCTATAGAGACCGCTAGCATAGCCCAACAAGCCTATTCAAGGCTCCACGATAGAGCGTAAGCTAGACGTTGGCTTCGTGAGTGACGTCGACGCGAAGAAGGACACCTATTATCATTAGTCATAGATTCTAGTGCTAGGGGAGCTGAAAAGCAATCCAGTAGCCGACACCGCTTCTAAAGCGTGGCTTAACTTAGGTAGATATGCTAGGGAAGTCCTTGCGGCTTAGGATACCCGTCGCTTTGTTCTAGGCTTTACCCTATGCGGGTCCTTTATGAGAATATAGGCATTTAACCGTCTTGGAGGAGTTGTATCTAAACGGTTTAATATAAATGAGGACGGACTTCAGTTTGTGTTCACTATTCTTAGATTTCTGTGGATGAGCGAAGAGCAATATAGATTTAATCCCACCATTATAACGTAAGATGGCGAGCGATTTATTGAGATCGAGCGAAACGGCTAGATAGAGTGGCTCGTCCTCGAAAGACTTATAAGTCGGGCACCCTATATTGTAGGTCGAGCAACCACATACTAGAAAGCGCACCGTGAGGCGGAACCTAGGGTTCTACTCGTTATCAAAGACTCCTAGCAATACGTAGAGCGCGACGAAGAAGGGGAACTTCTTCAAGAAGCCACCGAGCGCGGGGTGGTCAACGTCGTACGATACTTTTATTATGCGACTATCTATATCCGTGATTAGGATAACGATGTTTAAGGCAACGTTCGAGGGGGCTTGGATATTAGGACCGTAAGCAACTATTGGCTAGAACGATCAACGCCTTCGACTAACATAGGCACAACCGATGGTCCGCGAAAGAGCTAGAGTAGCGGCCGATCTAGCTTGAAGCGCTCTTCCAGTTAAACTAGTGCTTTTTTGCCACCTAATAAGCGACCTTGTTTAGCACCTCCTACTAAGGCATCCATCAATCCACTGCTAAATCGAGTTCATTGGCGTATTATCCTGCGCGATTATAGTAAACTAATCTATAAGGCAAGCACTCGTACGGCTCTACTTACCGCGCTAGAGGGTTGCATTATAGGACATTATTCTTTGTAAAGGGTAGAGATTCTTCACCGAGATATCTTAGTCAATAATCTTATGATTAACGAGGACGAAGACAACCCTTCGTGGCCATTATTCTTGATTGATCTTGATTTGGCCATCAAAGAGTAGCGAGTCGGTGTCTTGGGAGCGAATAGAAAAACCGGCATAAGGGCCTTTATGGCGATTGGGTCCCTCCTAGGGGAGAAGCATTCTTTTATGTATAACCTTGAGTCATTCTTCTAGGTGATATTTTGGATATGCATCTATTACGAGGAGCTAGGCAAGGGAAAAGTTATGCTAAGATTTAACGATTGGAATTTTTGGGATATAGAGGCGCTAGCTAATTTAAAGAAAGGGACAATATCCGACGAAGTAGATTTCCTGAGGTCCGCGAATATGCACTTCACAAAGCACTACCACCCACTAATACAATATATTAATGCACTTCGGAAAGTAGTGTTTCCTAATAGAAGGAGGTGGACTAAGGAGGATGTAGGATTATATAATTGGATGAAAGAGATTCTACGGGGTGCTCGAGAAGACTGAGAGAACTTAGGGTCTCATTAGATAATCTTGTACACGGAGCCCTAATGCCACTATTATATAATCTTAGGATAATAAAAAATAAGATTAATTAGAGCAATGCTACCTTTGCCCTAGAAAAAAGATAAATAAGAGTTGAGTATAGAGTAGAGTTGATTTATAAGTCTAGCAGAAATAGGAAAACTTATTGGCTAATACGCCAAGAATATACTAACGCGTAATAATTTAAGTCGTAGCCCTATAGTGTCCCGCTAATAATGATCGAACTAACTAAACTCAGGGGTAATTCCGCTTAAGACATTAACTGCATAAAACTAACCGTAATGGCCAATAAAAGCTAGCTATGATCTATCTATATTCCTAATAAATCGTCCTTAGCTAGGGCCCTGCTTGGAATCACGTCCCTTCCCCCCCTTCCCCTGGGGCCTTGGCGGATAGCGGTGGCCACTACCCTATTGCTAAACTTAAAGTAGAAACCATAGTTCGCCTATATTTCGAATTACGAATATATAAGAAGCTAGAACGGCACACAAGGCCTTTCAAGGAATGGCTTTAAGTCGTGCGACCCCTAGGCTATATAGCGTATTACTTCGCGCTAGTAGGGTAGAGAATTGGCGCGATGGAAATCACTTACGGTATATCCCTAGTATGTTTCGTAAATAGAGAATTGACATTTCATTCTCTATTTTGAGGCTTTCTATAGTTTCTTGGGAAACGGGGGATAGATAGGTCTAATGCCTCGTTTACCGTATAATTGAAATTTTTGTCACGCTAGTAATAGCGCGATTATATAGTAAAGCAGCGTCGTTAGCCTGGCGCCCTCCATCCTCAAAAACTTTTCTAATTTAGACTTGGGTGGTAAAATTGGAGGCCTTATTCGCGACTAGATCTTTATAGGTCACTCTCTATACTGGGGATGTGTCCTTTTCCGGGGCCGATTCCTAAGGGAGGGAATCCGCTTCACCCGCCGCGGATGGCTCAATTCTCTAGAGCGCCTCCGGCCCTAGTTGATTGCTGGATTTGCCGTTAACCTATTAAACCCTCTTCTGGCATCGATAATAGTTGGAAAAGCTCCTACTAGCCTTTGGAACTGAATAGAACTACTAGTGATATGAAACCTGCTCAAAAATACTATCCTGGACACTAGCCATCTATATATACTTGCTGCTGGGAAGTTGCATAAGATGTCATTAATTCCCCCTGCTCCGATCAAAATTGGCTGAATATATTTGCTTGCCACCTCTTTCGCCTCTAACATTTCGGCGACAAACTAATCTTTGAATGCGAAACCCATGATGTGGATCACGAGCTTTTAGCAGAGACACTCCTAGTCATTAGGGGTGAAGACACCAACGAGGAAGATATAAATCGAGTGATTCCTCTAGCCTTCTTTAAGGGCGTCTCTTAATTACTTAACCAGAACTCGCACACTATTCATATAGATTAGGTAGAAAAGTTTGACCGATGCTTAGCACACTAGCTACGTAAAGGTTCTCTATACTCACTGTGTCATAATATCAATATAAACGTTAGGCTAGAGATCAAAAAAATAGTGCAGAATCTAAGGTTAAGCGACGTATCAAGATTTCTAAAAACCTACAATCTCCGCGTTGCGTGGAACAATATCTAAGCTATTTTGGATACGATGAGAAATACACCTCTACCGCGGCCTTTGCTATAGGACCCTAAATTGCGTGTGCTAGAGAATATAATAAAGCTTTGTATCCCCGCAGAAAAATGTCATAAGCTAATATTGTCATTCTTAGACCGCATAGCCTTTTTTCCTAAGGCAGGACCTATACAGTATTTATTAGGCTTCGGTTATGATGGTAAATATGTTGATTAGTATAGTTCCTTTCACTCGCACTATCACCTTGAAGTGAAATCCCTCTAAGGCGTATATTAGGCTAGAGGCTCTTTAGGGGCAATTCTAGCCGTCAGATTCAAAGATAGCCAAGAAATGATAGGTAATGCCGTTAATTAATGAGCTCTTACCTAGGGCCATACGTTTATTAGTGAATTTTGATAGCAACAAAATGTTAGCAAATGTCACCTAGACTTTTTAAAGAGTTTAATCCAAATATTAGTGAATTAGTTGTTCCTTAGGAAGAATAAAGGACATAATTTATAATCGCTTAGAAAGGGCTCGCAAAAAAGTAGCTTGATGACGCTTCATATTTCACTAAGCTAATTTTTAGAGTACTAAATACTACTTCCTATAAAGAAGGTGTTCTTTACCTCGTGATCACCTTTTTATACTATCCAGAAATTTATCTATCACTATTATACCACAAGCACCCTTATATAGTGAGCTCTAAATATATTAGCTTTGTTTCTGGCCTGAAATATTTTGTGTCCTTTGCCATTTACCTAAGGCCTAAAATGTAGCTCCATGCCCTTGTTTTTGGCTTAGCTATGACCGCCTTGGCGCTTCCCTTGGGCCCCATTAATTCAAAGGTTTTGGATATTACTAAGCGTATCGGCGAGACCACGACACTTTCTAGTATTTTTAAATGGATTAGCTCAATTAAGCCGTCAATTAACACCGCTAAGCATAATAATAAGGTTGAAGATTCTCTGGATATTACTAAGCGTACTAGTTAGGCGAAACCCTTTGTGGACATTCCCTGAAACTGAACTTATAAGTCCCTTGCTTAATTTGGCAATTAGAGAACTGAAATCACATCATGATTAGTATCTATTCATCAAAGTTTGGGTTACTATATAATCTTGAGGAGTAGATATATTAGGCTATAGAAGGGAAAATCAATTATATATCAAACTTAGGCTTTTTGATAAACGTCAATTATTTTCTCCTTTGAAATCTGTTTCGTTCGTTGTTTCTTTTTATGACAAATACATATATATATCTATAAAGGAGACTTTTTTTTAAAAACAGTATTAAGGCGCTATATGAAAAGTCTAACTCTACCTATAATCTACCTAATTGATCCTTGGTATTTTCAGTGAAGAGATTAGTTCCCGCGCTATAGGTTTTATTCTAATTTATATTACAATAGTATATAGTGACGAATTCATTCTAGTATCATTTTATTCGATGCTCTACCTAGTATATCCTAAGCGAATTTTCTATAGGAAATAAACGGAGTACGTGATAGTCCGATTGAGAAAACCACGTGCCTGAGGTTGATAGTAGTCTATACTAAGAAGGAATATAGAAGTAGTTAGTTAGCGGTGAAGGGTAAGTTGATCAAAATAAATAGGTAAACAAAGTTGCATAAGGGTTTATTATCTCAGTGCGATTTTTCCAGTATGTTTCTAAATAATTTGAATTAATAGAGGTGAAACCTAGGAGTGGCCAACGAGTGATTGATTCTGATAAAGTTCATAAAATGGGCACAGCGGAGCGAACGATGCTACGACGTCGACCTAGGGAGGAGAGGGACTAGGCTAGATAGACT